CAGGTCACAGCCAGCTGGGTCACAGCACGACGCTCGTCCAAGCGCCCATGTACCACGATCTCGCCTACCAACGCGGGCTGCATCATACCCCGCCGCCGGCACTCGACGGGGTGATTTCTGTACCGGTAGTTGCTCTGGATGACGCTGTGGTGTCCTTACTCATGCCCTCTGATGCGGCCAGTGATCTGCTCAACGAGACCCGCGAGCGTGCGGGCGCCAACGTGCCTCCACACCGCGTGTCGATCGATGCCGCTTGGGAGGCGGCAATGGCACGACAGCTGCGGCCGCTCGTCGCCCACTCGTCTGCCGACGTGACGATTGCGTTGGCACATCTCAACCTTGCAACAGCGTTTGTCGACGGCGTGTATCGGCCTGCAATCCCGCGAGACGGTGCGTTTGGCGTCCTCCTCGTGCTTCTCCCCTCGGTGTTTGCGCCCAACACAGCGTGGTCGCTCCAAGGTCGCGATCTACACGAGACGTGGGTACCCGCCTCGACGACCACGCACGTGCCATGGTTCGCCTCCATTGGCTTCAAGCGTCTCTCGGTCGATCGGGTCGCATTCGGGCTGCGCGCTGTCCTCGTCTACCACATGCTGGCGGCGGTACCGGTACCGGCGCCACCGGCGCCGAAGCCGTTTGCGCTCGTCGCCCCGTTTCCCAAGCACGCCGCGCTCTTTCGGTGCCAAAACCTCGACGCTTTGGAGGCGACGCGACTGCGCCGTGACGACGTCCGCGCGCTCATGTCCATCCGCGCCTCGGGCGAGTACTTTGTGGTGCTGGTGCACGTCGTTCTCGATGCGGATGCAAGTCGCATCGTCGAGGCACGTCGTTTCGATCCGCGTTGCACCATACCGCAGCGCTTTTTGGACCGGCTCGCGGGCCAGACCATCGACGCGTGGTTTGCGCTAAACCCAAATGCACCGAGAACCGCGTTCCAAGCGCTCGTGTGGCCGGCCACGCGCAGCGTCGTGCTTCTCGGATGCGACGCGGCGCTGCGCGGGCTCGAGGCCCATGGCGAGGACCAAGATGTTTTGCTCTACTTTTACCCGACGCCGTGGCGCTCGACGACAAAGAAGCAGAAGACGACTGCGTCGTTGCACCGCCCCGCGCTCGCCATTGTCACGTGCTTTCCCCACACGGACGCGCGGCTAGTCGCACGCTTGCTGCGCGTCGTCGCCCAGCTGGATACCCCGCGGCTCTTTGCCACGCTCTTGCGTGACCACATTGCAGTGTTGGACGCTAACGCGCTATCGTATGCAGTTCAGACCTTGGGTCCAGTCAACGCGCTCCCGGGGGTCATGGCACTCGTCCTCCGTGCGACCAGATCGGTCCCGAGCCTCTTGGCCGGTGTCGTCGCATGGACGTCGCAGCTTCAAGACGAGTACTTGGCCACGCCACTGACGACGCTGCCTTGTACGATGTGCGCGACAACGTGGTCGCCTTTCCGCCCGCCGTGGCCATCCCGCTACTGACGGCCGCCATG